TAGATAGATAGATAGATTAATCTTGCCACATAAATATTTTTTCGTAATTTAATTACATTTAAATATTTTTGGTTAGGTAAAAACTCTTTAAAGATTATAAGCGTATTAACGTGAAAATTTAAATCAGTGCAAACGCACAAACACTCACCGGTAAAGTTACTTGACGTCGGCGAATATCTTTACCAGAACACACGCTGAAACGTTGAATAAGCTGTTTGTTTGTATGAACTGAATGCAGAGATTTCATTTGTTTTTATCTGTTGTTGTTGCTCGAGTGAGCCCAGCGCTTCCGGCTTAGATGGTTACCGTAGAGACCGTTCCCTCTCGTGCGCCGTTCTAAACTCCCGCCATAGCGAAAGAAAACGAAACTAGAGTGGAACAATGCTTTGAAAGGAATCATTTCGGAAGCCGGAGGTTCTATCTGATTGGTCAGGTGTGTGACTATACAAATTAAACGTTTAATTTTAACTCTTCACTGGGTGTTTTTGATTTTAATACCTTTCAAAGTTCTCAAAATCATTACTCTGGTGAACATTTTTGTTCAAACTACTGCTGAGAGAACGGCCAGGTCACGTGGTGTTTGTTACTTTTCTCAGCGCAGTCCAGGCGGAACTAATCACAGTCGTCTGTGATGAGAGGACACGGCATTTTAGTCAATCATTTTACAGCGATTGTCCGATATTTATGTACATGAGAAATCATATCTTTCATTTATCAGTTTACTATTATTGCGCAGTAAATGCTGCCGCCCAATAATATTCTGTTTCCTTGAACTCTTTTGACAAGAGACGCTCGTTTTGAGAAGTGAAAAGTGTACATTTTATCTATGTGTATTTTAAGCCTTCTTAAAATGTTAGAAAACAAACATTTGCCGTTATATTGAGGACAGCAAGGTATTTATTGCAATATAAAATTGTACCAATATATATTACAGTTGTGTTTTATATTTTAGAAATAAAAAGGATGTATCTCAGTAAAATAATGTCGGTCATATTTCACCCCAAAATAAAAGGAAAATATAGTTTGATTATTTTACATATAAAAATTAATCCTATTCTTAAAAACATTATTTATTAGATTTTAAACACATTCTTAACACTGATAACATAAAAAAATGTGTCCATGATCATTTACTAAACATAAATAAAAATAAGACTCCTTTATAACAATGAGAATTAAAAAATATATATATATATACCATTAATTTTGGGATGGAATATGACTTTTCCTGATGAGATTCATGCAAAATGACTATCGGTCTTGGCAGATTGCAGGATACTCCGAGACTCTTTGAGAAACGCTGTATGAGACAAATAACCGCACCACAGCCCAATCAAACCGTTCCATCATGATCTAGAGGTAAGAAAAAAATATTTCATCGCTTTTGAGTCACCACTGGAAATTATTAACTGCAGTTAAAAAATAAATCCCAAGTAAGTTGTGCATCTTGTTTGGATGAATAAAAACTTCCCTCTGAACCGCAGCTGATAACAGAGAGAAAAAAATAAAAGACGATGCTCATACAAAACGACTTTGATTCAAGTTTTCATTTGCAGAGTGTTTTAACAGGATTTCCCAGCAGCAGCAACCGAGTCGGAATGAAGCACCAGCAGCCCTTTGTTTTGAAGATCGTTCCTCATATGAGTTATGAGATCTTCTCGTAGAACAGGAGGTAGGCTTGGGAACTCTGCACTTTGGCCTCTGGAACCGGATGAACACTGCTGTCGCTAATGTGAAACCATGATCCTTTACTGGCCTCGGCATGACCTGCTACGAGATGATGATTGGAAATAGATGATAATAATCAAAATGTCACTTTGTTTCCAACAATAGGCTTGCATCAAATTTAACTGATTTTATGTCCTCCGATATTAATGCATGTTCATATAAATCCACTAAGTTAATCGACACCTCAGATTCAGCAGTGCAGATACTCACAACCAGCATCGAGCCCGTTTTCTACATAATTGTGTGTTGAAGGTCGTGATTTGATGTAAGCTGTGTAATGTCCAGACCGCATGGTGCCGCTGTGTTCCACTATACCGTAAAGACTATACAGCACTCGCGTCTCGCCCTCCTTCACTCCCTGAAAACACAGTTTTGAGTGAGTTTACTGAACCCAGAACCCAAGGAGTGATGTAAGGATGGAAAAATGTCGTGAAAACCCAACGATCATTTACTCACCTTGCAGTTTAAAGAGCAGAATGGAGCGAGATCCAGGATCTGAGGAAACTGCACATGTCTGTTCACCTTACAAACACTGTATCCAACCTACAGGTGAATGACACAATGAAGGGCTTAAATGCAGATTTCTTTGAGTGTATTGGCGTGAAGATATCTGGCAGAGGAGGAACAAGCTGTTTTACCTGCTGGAATCTCTTCAGGTGGAGCGTGAGAACTGCCGGAGGATCAGAGATCAGCATCTGCTTCAGGGCATCTCTGTAAACAGCTTTCTTACAACCTGACGACAACAACAAAATCTGTTTAGAAGCACTGCTTTCACAACTGAGGTTTATGAAGTTTTGTGTTTAATGACAAAAAAAAA